CCAAATTACCACCTCCAATGAAGTCATCACCAAATGGAAGAACAACGTAATACCGTGGACAAATAAACACCACTAAAACTGTCTCTCCTTTTACGGCGCCTTATGGCGTGATGACGCCAGTAAAAGTATCATGGCCCGTACTGAATGACAATGACCGAGATTTCAATCCCTTTTCTCCTTTGAGATCACCGTTTCGATCCGTTGCACGTATAAGCCTTACTGACTGCATTCTCGATTTCCTAAGGCGGATCAAAATTGAAAGTTTTGCGCAAATTTTGCTGTACATCTTGGAGATTGATAGACTTTGGCTTTCGTTTCCTATCTTGATCTAGTATTTGCTATTGGGGTTGGAACCGATTCGGATCGGTGAAAGTAAATATGTTGTTCTATTTTAGGAACTGCAGTAGTAACCGTTTGGATTTAGTTATGATTTATGGTAGGTACCCACGTTAAGTAGGTGTAGCTAGCTACTTACCATTTATCTTTGTTAGACAATAAGCCCGATGTTTTGTTTTATTCATGTAAATATTCATTTATTACATCACTCACACAGGATGATTTATTTATGTAGGTAAACATTGGTATCCGGCAAGTCAGTTGGTAATAGTTTTCTTATGATCGATTTCTTAAGTTCGCTATCTGGAACGCTGGTCGTCTAGGTATTTACGCAAGCTTAGTTTTGTTTTCTGAAGACTGTCAACGCTAAACCTATAATGGCCTCGTTTTCCTCGGAAAGTGTATTTTTATTTGCATTCACTATTTGTCACCGCTTATTTTCAAAACGACGTCCGCTCTGATTCACTTTTATTCGTAAATTTTAAAATAGTAACACGGTTGTTACTGGCCTACTATAAAGGACGATTATAATGTTTCTTTCGTTTTCTGTGACGAAATCTAATTCTCAACAATGTCATACGGACTGTAGTGTCTTTACTCAATCCACTTTCATGGGAAAATGATCCAATAGTAAACGTTTTATGCTTGTTTGCTGTAGAAAATCCCTTCTATATTTCGTCACCTAAGCGTTCCCATTGCCATAAAATTGCTCTGTCACCATACGAACCATGCGTCAGTTTCCTTACAGCAAAGTACCTCTGATACCCATGTTTTATGGTGCCATTACGTCACTGCCTTCAGACGCTCCAGATGTCGATAGCATTGTTTGGGTACGTATTTATGACGTGGTCGAAGCATGTGTGATCGTGCCCTGAAGAATCATAAAGATCGCAGGGAAAAAAATGTGAACTGGGTAGGGTAATGCCCGCACATGTTCAGAATAGTAAATGTATCAGGTCTTTTGATGTGGTTTATAGTACTTTTTGTTTAGACTTAGAACAGATTTGAGTGGGTTCAATGAGTCTGGAGGGGTGATGAATGATAGTGGAATGAGTGAGAATGACGAATGAGTGCCTAATGGTTGTTATTACGTGACGCAGTACACTGCATTGGAGATATGACGTGAGTGAATGGATGAGGATTAAATAACGGGCTTATGTGCGATTCATTATCCTTAAACAGATGGTTCTTATCAAATTCACTACTCATTATTCAAGCAAATGCTACAGTAAGAGGGTCGTTGGAAAAATACTGGAGTTTTCATGTCTTTTAGCGCGGTTATTTAAGTAGCAATGTCATAGAAAAAGCCGCCATCCATTAAACGTCACAGTTGACACTTGCTTTCTTCATATTTCTCAAGGGAGATGGTGCCCGGTTTCAAAGGCCGCAATAACTTCGCTACTCAAATTGAAAACAATAGATATCATGTCGTGTAAAATGCGGTTGTTTCTGTAAAATACACGAATTGCTCATAAAGATATAACTAAGGTTTAACATCCATAAAACTTGCAGAATCGTAAAATGTTACAGACCACCAGAGAAAGTTGGGGAAAAGTGATGGACTGTGTACGTAGGTAGGTATTTAATGTTTTTTGCTATAAAGATAATAACTAACTATCGCAGTTAGGTACTTCGCAAACCATTTTCCTCATTGCGTAGAAGGTGAATACGATTACCTACTTATAAAGATATTTGAAAATCGCGATGGCCTCGATTGCTGTCACGATACCAAGGCGGGAGTCAATGGGAGCCAATAAGACCTTTTGGTTAGATAACTACATATAAAAACCAGATCATTACTTAACAAGGATTAAAATACCTTTAATGTCATAGCGATGGAAAACATAATTAGTTACTGGATTTAAAAGTTGACTATCGCCAGACCAGTGCCTATTTGACAGACTAAATTACCTAAGTAGGTTACAATGTTAATTTATGGGCAGACTAGCAAGCTGAAACTTTTTAATAAACACTCGCTGAACACAAACAACAAATGCCGTGATTTTCTTAACCATGTAGGTACTTAGATAACCTTGAAATATTATCCCGTGAAACGCTACAATTTTATTGACCGATCGTCATATAGGCATACTCAAACATAAGCAACAATCCATTAGGTAAGACTAGGTATCGTAACATGACCTAGGCATTTGAATGCCAACTTTTCCAGCCAATTAATTACTAATTGAGTCATAGATGCATGAAAACAGTCGTGTTACAAAAGAATATGATCACTGTGAGTCATTTTTTAGCTAAGTGTGCGTGTACATGCAAAATACGTGTAATTCTAGATCAACATAGACATAATGACGTAAGCAGGTACGCGATAATTGAGAGTCGAATGGACTATTTTCATTATCATGTGTATAATAAGTAAAGAATCGATCTTCAGACTGACTTTTTCTTCATCATCAATAGCCTATATAAATCCACTGCTGAGTAAAGCCTCTTCTCACACGGAGAAGATTTCAGCATTAATCATCACGCTTGCTCAATGCGGGTTGGCGATTGAAAACTCCGATGTTTTCCTTCACCGTTTGTCAGTGGTGTCTAGATTATATTAGAAAGTAAGTACCTACATATATAACTCGGAAAAAGTCACTTCGAACGTCATTTCGAACCCTCATGCATGGGAAGAGGGCGACGACTCTTTCTTCGGGAATTGGTCATTGAGATAGTGATTAGACTAGATAGGTAACTAGAGGTAGGTAACCTAATTAGGTATGTAATCTTACTTAAAATCGAGTATTTTGACTATTTCGCTTGCAAGGTGTTTGCGACTCGCATCTTAGTTTGAATGCTAGCTAAGCACAGTGCATTTAATGTTTTGAATGTGAGAAAATATTGATTAGCATGGTATCGGTTTGTGGTTTTAGCCAATAGAATCTCCCTCATATTTCGAACTCACTATAACAACTTATGACAGAAGAAACGCGAGTCTAGAGTTGCTTATGTGTTACACAGAATGAAATAGGTATCTGAAAAATTATTTTGATAAGTAATCTACATTACAGTGATAAAGACATATTACATATGATTCATCACTGTTTTACCTACAGTAACATAACTCTCAATAACAAATAAACTATTTAAAAACTTAGAATATTGTAACAAAATTATTAATTTATGAATCAAAACTAATTAACTAGGTATACTCAATCACCAAACAAAATCTTTTAGATTTGTCACTGAACCACCACTTACAAATAAAATTACATTAGCTATCGAAGTCATAATTTTGATCTAATTATAACTTAAAGTCAACACCTGTACAGTGATAGATGAGGGTGTTAAGAAAAACATCCACATGTATACCGTTGACATTTAAACAAAGACTTGAGCTAACTATGATTTATTGTAACACTATCTACTTCTGCGCAGTTTCAGCCGCTCTGCTGAGCTCCTATTGGTTGTAGCGTGATGTTTTATTGCCTATAACCTTCCTTGATAAATGTATTATCCAACACAAAAAGAATTATTGAAATCGGACCAGTATTTTCGGAGATTTATGCATCCAAATAAATAAATTCTTCAGCTTTAATATATCTAATAGTATAAGATTTAAGATTATAAGACTATTGGTTATGGTAATTATTAAGAAATATGAATGCAAAATATGTGTTTATAAATTGAATTTTTATTGACTAGTTTATGGATAAAAATGTAAGATTGCAAGGTGAGAAGTATTTCAATATTTTTATTGTTTATTTGCATGACTAAACATTACACCTAGTTATACATTTTCTAGTTATGTCTTGTTAGAATTGAGTTTGCCTTTCATTCTAAAATCTGTACAATTGGATGTTCAAGTTCCTGGTTAATAAAATTTTAATTTATTTAAATATTTGTTGTAGATGTACCCAATTGTAATAACTATGTGGTTATAGGAATTATTGTCCAAGTAAGGAGTCCCTACAAGGGAATTTTCTATATAAAATCTTAACTTTAGGTCCTAGTTGAAGTACTTACCTATTAGTAATTTAGCAATTATGTATTTGATGAGTAAGTATTCCATAAAAGGGACTCAGCAATTATATTAAAAGTAAATTGAAATTTGAAAATAAAAAACTGACCATTTCTGATTGGGTTTCTACTGAATTAGTTCACAAGCTTGATTTTTTGGCTCAATAATCTGTTTTTGTTTTCGTAAAATAGACATTTTCTTAACTAACCACTTGTCTAACAAATAATAAATGTAAACTACCGAGTTATTTCAATAAGAACATAAAAACAAATGAGTATAGACATAATTACCTACATTACTAAAAATCGGTATCCAATCAGATTTAAATAAGGAACTAGCATCAAAGCACCAACTAGGCTTTCTACTTACAAGCAAGATGCAAATTAAAAAGTAAACAATCTTGATACTACCAAACTAAAGCAAAATAATTAAAATTTACGTCCAGTAAGCATCTAATTGGCCGGAACTTATAATAAATGCAACTACATAAACAACACAACGCGTTTCTTTCACGAAATAAAATAAACGAAGCGTCAATACAGTGAGAAATCCGTTTAAAACTTTGAAATTACAAAGATTAATGTAACATAAATTCATTCCACTTGAATCACATGTTACTACAAACGTGCGACACTGAGTTTTTATAACAAAAAGCAACCAAAACGAAGAATAAAAGGGGGTAAATATCGATCATACACACCACAACAAGATAAGCCGGCGAACTTGAAGTAATCGCACCAATGTACAGCTTTACCTCACGAATTAACACAGAAACGTCCACTAAAAATCACAAAGAAACACTTCACTCTGTTTCTAAAAACTCAAACTTATTATTTTATACAATTTTCAGTCACAATTTTATGTTAAAAACACTTTCACAGCATTTTCACGATGAATCCGATTCGACAACTGACACATCCACCTTTCATAGAAACGCGGCAACAGACTGCCAGACGTGAACGTTTGGGCCATAGACACGAGCTTTGTCTGTTATTGACTCCATTACTTTTACTATTAACCGGCAAAATTAAAAGTGAGTTCGACACTACCGCAATCTGTTAAAGGAGCTACACATTTTATGTGGTCGCCTAATACAAGCGCCATCTAGTAGTGCGATTTGGCACTAGTAATTCTGTCAGCTTCCTCCATTTCGATAATAGCACCATCTAGTTATTAGTATTAAAATCTGTAGCACCGCCATCTATCCACATTTCGTGAAACTATAAATGGATCACGGTTAGCAGGAGGCGAAGCGTTACGGGAAGAAAACAAAAGATGGCGCTTTAACTTGTTAAGTACCGTCGTTATAGACAATTATAGAACAATAGGTTGCGGTCACCGGTGACCGCTTGGCGTTTGACAGTTTAAGAATAAAATTATTGTTTCTAGATGGTAAAAATTGAACCGCCATACCAGTTAAAAAAATTGTAATAAATTTTATACTTGCCCGCTAATAAATAAATACCTAAAGTGGTGTAAAATATTGTGAAAGCAATGTGATGCAGGTGTTCGTGATTTGTACTTAGTACGCATTTGATTCTGCTTAACCCAATGGACGACAAGTGTGAATATAGGCATGCATTTATGAATGCTCCACGCATTGTAAATACACTATAGCTTTGGTGCATTTGTGAATGCCAGTGTAGCATCGAATCGCTCAGAGGCTGAATAGTAGTACTTAGTAGGCAATCATTACAGACATTAAGAAGCGTGATGTAGGAAAAATGTAGGTTCAAATCAATTGCTTACAATATTTCTATGTAGGTACCTAATTTTTTTAAGGGGGGAAAATCATCGTATGACTCCTCCCGCCTGGGTGAGGCGGGAGGGAGTGTCAGACTCTTACTGACTAAAAACCACCCCGTTCCTTCTCCTGCACATCGAGCCGGAGCCCCGGTAACCCGTTAGGTTCTCCGCGACCTACGTAGATAAGTACTTGGGTAGATAAGTACTTACGTATTCACGTTCTACCGACTATGTATTTCAAGATATACCCAATACGTTACCAACTTGAAAACTAGTCATATTCAATACGAATTCAAACGAACTGTCAAAAACGAGAGTTTTCTATGAATTTTGTACCTACCTACGAGATTGTGAATTGTGACGTCACGTTTTTTCGTTGACGTTCACGTCGCGTCGCGTCAAACAGCATACTAATTTATTAAAAATTTGCTGGAAATATACAAAAATTAAGTTGGTCATAAAACCAATTAATGAAAGTGTGAATATTTTTTAATATGTTATTGTATAGAACAGTCGCAATAATTTATTTTTGATTAAGGAAAGTAGGTACCTACCCAATTCAAGAACACAGCGCCCAAAACCTTCATTCAGCACCAAAAACATTCCTATCTAATTATCAACGACGTATATACCTAAGCATTTATTTGTTAAAATGACATTCCGGGGCAAACCAAATAAATTCACAGTTGGCCCTAAACGGACTGTTCCCATAGAAAGAGGGCATTGAGATCAAGGAGTTTTTGTGTTGCTTTTTTAAAAGTCGTAAACTTTCTGGGAAGAGGTTGAGTTGAAAAAAATCTGGGAGTCGGTGTCTTGGGTTCGAAAATGAACGGTTTTGGTTATACTTCCGCCCGATGACCGCTGGCGACGATGGCATTAGGGTGCGCATAGAGAAAGTGTGGAGTAGCCTGGCAATAATGTTTTGTTTATTATTAGCATTAGCAGATTAAACATTTTTGATGGTAGTATGGTGAATTTTATTTTATTTATTTAATATTACTATTACATGGGACTCATAACATAGGTAAATAGTGAAAAGTGGGTGTTACATTGTATAGTGGCATAATGTGCACCTCTGCCTACCCCTTCGGGGATAAAAGGCGTGATGTTATGTTATGTTTATTTAATATTTATGTGCGTACACACATACAACACAAAGGATAATATATAAATAAAAACAGAGTACATAGGCCCTAGTTTACTTTTCCCCTTTTAATTAAAACCTAGAGAGCAAGTAGAAGTAAAGTGCCTGGTTCTTAGAAACGCAAAGTGGGTAAATTAATTAGGCAATATAAAATATAAGAAGACAAATCTTTTGAAGGGAATTAGGAGGTGTCTCGTAGTCTTAGTGGTTGACTTGTATTTTTTTTTAGATTAGGTAGTTAATACAATTTTATTGTTCCTTAATTACCCAGTCAACACTAATTGTAAAAGATTAAGAAGAAAATAACATTCTAAAGTACCTAAAAAAGTCCAGAACCAGTTCCCATTTCTTGCAGGCAATCAAGCAATCACCGAAGTAGTCGACAAAAAACTACAAACGAACAACATCTCTACTGCTTCATATTCCGCAGCGTGAAGAATGTTATTAAGTGGATAAGCAGTAAAAAAACAAAAATATCTCTATCGGCCGCCTTAGACGTGATAATTAGTAGATAGCCAGTTCAGATACATCGTCACGGACAAACACGTTTTTCTAATAGTATTTATAGAAAGCTGTTGGTTTTATACCATTTTTATAATAGCTCTATGAATTGTCCGGGATTTTCTGCGTGGGGGTGTTTAAAAAAGACCTTTTTTGTCGTTTTTGCCTTTAGTAGGTGGCGCTACTGTCGTTTTAGACCACGTCGAAGTATTTAGTTTTCAGGTCGGTTATTTAATAAACTTATAACATCCAATTTATCTATAGTATGTTAATTATCTCCATAGTCAGTAAGGGAGCGAGTGTACATCGCGAGCGACATTCGATGAATTTCCCCCCTTAAAAAAATCTTGAAGGTTTGAAGGTTGTATCGGTTCGGAAATACAGCCGACGACAGTTCATTCTATAGTTTTGCTGTTTTGAATTTGAATTTTCGCATATTTGAGATGAGCTGCTTAAATCGTTATAGATTTTAATTTTCAACATTCATTTTATACAACATCTAAAATCATTCAACCTAATATCAATGAGTACACCCGAGCGTATGACGCGTCCCGTTCCGTACGCGCTTCAAAGAGTCATTAGACCATCACGGATAGGGCCCAATAGGGCTGATGCCGATCCGAAACTGCGGAGAACCTAACGGGTTACCGGGGCTCCGGCTCGAAGTGCAGGAGTAGGAACGGGGTGGTTTTTAGTCAATAAGGGTCTGATACTCCCTCCCGCCTCACGCAGGCGGGAGCAGTAATTCGATGAATTTCCCCCCTTTAAAAAAAAGATATCAATGAGTACCACATCTACCTGTCCAAGAAAATTAACTATCAACCTTATCAAAACAGTGTCCCTTCGCGTAGGTCGTTGAAGAAACCTTGCTTAATATCAAATTGCTTTTTTTATAATGTAGGCCAGTAGGTGTTCAGTTATTTTAGTCCTTTAACTAAACCTGTTTAAAACCAGCTAGGTACAAATAACAAGTACATTTTAATTCTTTATTAATTTGAACAACTCTCGTAGTAGTAACATTTTAGTTCTATTGTATGACGTAGTAAAGTTGGGGTAGACAAGAAATTGATAACCGATTAGAGCTAGTAGAAATGATTAGAAATGATTATTGTATTGTTGGGAATCTTTGACGGTAGAAGAAAATTTAATTTATTGCATAACCGCGCTCTTTGCGTTCGAGATTCATCAGACTGGTAATACGCTTGTCCTGGCAACCAATATTTCTTTATTAGTTTGTTAATTTGAGGTTCAATAGCTTTGTTACAATTATCTAGTCGTTCTAATTACATTTTTCTTCAAGTTTGTATATTCTTCTTAAAACATAAGTTTCCACCTGTTTTCTAATAGTATTGTTTAATCTTTCTGATATTTAACTCACTCTTCTCCTTCCTGAAAAATAGCCAGATATACCAGATAAGACAGCATTTCCATCTCCATCATATAGATAGATGGTTGGCAGGCTACAATTCTGCGCCATTCCCGAAATTTTCTGCCTCGCACAGCAAAACTGTGGAATTATATACGGCGATATTTCCGAACCGATACGACCTTCAAATTTTCAAGAAAAGAGTGTATACCTTTTTAATAGGCCGGCAACGCACTTGTGACTCCTTGGCTGATGCGGGTATCCATGGGCGGTGCTGATCGCTTACCATGCTGTTGCCCTCCTACTTCATAAAAAATATGCTCAAAGTCTGGAACTGTAACACCCACTATTTACCAATTATATTATGAGTCCTATGCGCGCGGATAGGACTTGAGGTTACTGTCTGGATTTCTGCTCAATGTCTTGTCATAAGCGAGCAGATTTTCAAAAATCAAATGTTCAATAATTCTTTAACCGACACAAGAATGGAATTACAAGACTCTTCACTTGTCGGTTGCAATAAGGCTGTCGATTACTTAATTTACTACCTTACAACAAATCATTAGCTACAAATACACTGCAAAACAATCCTGATCCTTTCAGGTAACGCCGCAGGTCATAATAAGTTCTAGGTAATACTTGTACCTGGAATACCTGCAATATAGCTAGGTACAGCAAACTTATGAAGTTATTACTGAAATGTATACCGGAAAGGTTTTTGTAAATGTCAAATGTCAGACCTTATTAGTCGTGGGTTTTGGGTAGACCTTTTCAAAAGTCTAGATATTTTGAACTGATTTGACATATCTAATGTTACAAAAAGTTAGTATAGGTCAAGTAAAGGTTGCAGAAAAAGTGACTGTTTTTATTTGACTTTAAATGACTGTAAATCACACTGATTGTATTGTACTAAGTACTTAGTAAAAAACAAAGTCGCTATCCGCCGTCTGTCTGTCCCTATGTATGCTTGATCTTTAAAACTACGCAACTACTGACTTTTGATGCGGTTTTTTTTATAGATAGAGTGATTCTTAAGGTTTTTAAGTATAATACATGCATATTGCACCCGCGCGAACCCGGGGCGGGTCGCTAGTGTATTATAAATGTGAAAGTTTCTTTTTGAATATTTGTATGTTTGTCCGTCAATCACGCTGAAACTACTGAAGGGATTTTGATGATA